AGCAGAGCCAATCCACAGAGAGCTTCTTCACCTTCAGCCAATTGGCTGCAATTCCCCTACAGGGCGCTCAAAAGATAACAGGAGCAAATGAAGATTAATTATTTACACCTGCTTCATGACAAAACAGACCACATTGATGGTGTTTTTAAAGTTCACAAACATCGCCCTGTTTATGTTTACTAAATAAAATGAAATATTAATAACGTTTGTTTTTGTCTGACCCATGAAATGGATACTTAACAGTAGTTCTTCCAGGAAAACTGCTGTTATATAGCTGTTATAAAGCCCATTTCTAACACACTGTGCTGACATCTACCTTCACAGTGCCTCTGCTCCCACTCACATCCAGCCACACTGAGGGTCTAAAATGGCCCCAAAATGACTCAGAAAAATCAGCTCCCCCCATGAAAGAACCACTTCAGAGGAGCGAATGTAAGTTTTGCCATTATCCAGTAAATTTGCAGATAAAACATTTTACACTCAGCTTACATGAACCTATTCAATTTCCCGTGACCTACTCCACTGCAAAAGTGCTTTTAAAGAGCAGGGATTGCTCATCAAGTTTGCTGCTGCTCCTTAGAGTTTCATTTTTTCTGATTAAAGTACTTGTCAAACAAGATATTCACAGCGTCTTCAACTTTACGGGCTGACGGCCGGCGAGATCCCAGGTCTGTATAACAGCTTGGGGGGCAAAGCCAAATAGGAGCACACTGCAGATGCTCAGTAATTGTTCCCCAGGAAAGTTGGTCTATGTGAAAGCGAGCAAACAAAAAAATCCAGCGAATCCTGTTCCCATTGACAGAATGTACAGCTTCACCCGCAAGAAACAGGTGGGAGGTGTGAGGCACCAGCATGTCTGTAGATATTTTTACCAGTCTAACACACACACACACACACACACACACCTGCTCTTCTCAACAATGGCATTAAAACTATCAGCTGATGACATGATTTCAGAGATGAATTACGGCAGAAGAAGACGGGAGGAACCGATCAATACGATGGTATCTGTTTCCAGACAGAAGCAGGGTCGGATAGAGAAAATAGGAAAGAGAAGATGGAGACGACGACGTCTGGCCCGTGGATTATGTTTCAAAGATGACAGCGAGGGGGTCTGAGGGGGTCTGACACCGTGTAGTTCCCAGAGCACTTCCTCCTTTTTGCTTTCTTTGTATCGAATGGAAAGGCTCAAGTGAAGTCGTACAAATCAGAAAAGCACCTCATTGCCATGGCAACAGGTGCTTTTGGACTGGCTAAACATTCAAGGCAATAAATAAATAAATAAAAGTAATAAAATCCCAGGAAACGGAAGGTGGAGGTAAATAATGCCTAGGTTTTCAGAGGAAGCACAGCAGCACTGCAGAGGGCAGAAACACAAAAAAAGCTCCAGCAAATGAAAAGAGGGCAAAAGACACGAGTGTCACCGAGCAGATGGTTTATCAAGAGAAAAAAAACAAAATAAGAAAGTTAGTGGTGATTGTGGTTCAGTGTAAAACTACAAAAAAAGAAAGAAAATAAATAAACAGATCAAGTCGATGCAAATAATTAAACACAGCGACTCAATGATTTCAAGAAGATGTGACTCATTAATAAATGCATCTCTATCCTTTAAATATATATTATAAATCTGGATATACTAACCATAGCTGGGTATTCAGCAGTGACTGTGGAAACATGATGGGGCGAAAGCATCGTTCATTCAAAGCAAAGGTCACCAGCATGTCACGATCCCGGGTCATGTGACCCAGTGTTTTCAGTTTTAATATATTTTGATGTTGATGGTTCAAGTTCATTAGTTTATCTACGCTCATTTCTATTATGCTTGGGTTGCCGTCATAGTCCATTGTTTCTTAGACCTCTTTTTGTTGTCACCCCTGTGTTTACGTTTCCTATGTTTATTCTAATCAGCTGTTTCTCCATGTGTTTCCTGCTCATCTCCTGTGTGTGTTTTCACTCATTCCTCGTCGTCTGTTATTCTGCTATGCTCGTGGCAGGTTTTCCAGGATTTTCATGTACTTTTGCCAAGTCTTCACAGTTCAGGTTTTTCATGTTCACGCTCAAGGTTTTTTTATGTTTAGCATTAGTTCACCCAGTTTAGGCCAGTTTTCAGTTTTGCCTTGTTTTGTACAGTTGAAACCAGCCTTTAATAAATGGCTCACTTTCAGTTAACATTAAGTTTGTTTCCGCGCTTTGTTTTGTCTGCATTTGGGTCCTTTATTCTCCACTCCACACAGTCACTGTCACACAGCAGGAATCAAACCAGGGGGCAGTGAGATGCCCAGTGCTGGGCATACATGAACAGGACAGTTAATATTTTTATATTTTTATTACTACTACTAGTAGTAATAATAATCAGACATGAACCAGAAATGCGGGTAAAGTCCAAGACCACCTCCTCCAAAAAAAAGAGAGCCCCTAGACATGGATCAGAATTGGTCTGCAATTATTTACTTGAGAAGATCGAGACCCATTTTTCTTAACCGCCCTTTTCATTTGATATGTACTTGAAGATGTAGACTTAATTTGAAACTTGGAATGGCAAAAAAAACCTATTAAATCTCGGAGGTCCTGTCTCAGCTTAGAAAGAAAAAACTCATCCAAATCCATCCACACAAACCATTTGGAGTCAAAGAAATGAACCAATTACACGCAGCCACTTTGGCTGAAGTACGAATGGTCACTAAAACACCTTTTATTCAGTCCCCAATGAGAAGGAAGCTGCAATTATATCAGCTTCAGCCAGCTAGTTTTGGAAAACTGAACACTGTATGTGCTCAGTCTCATAAGTAAAGCAGAGTTTGATATGATGACATATGTGCTTTACATTTGTGGTTGTCATATCAGTTTATTTGTGCTTCCTGTTCAGTAGCTTTAATGCCTTGTTAAATCTTTTTAAAGAAATTTATTTAAGCACTTTGATGAATTTAGATGAGTTAAATTAAGAACCTTCGTATTTATGTACGAAGCGAACATTTTAATAGAAAAACATTCATTGGTGCGAGTTGCAGAGACTCGACTGAATATTCCATGCACAAATTCAAACTTTAATATTTCGCCGCTGTGCATTAATTACTGTCAAGTCCTTCAAATATTACTGACGCCCTCTGTCATCAAACAGGGAAAGAAAACAGCCTAATGAAACATTCTTTGATACCCACACAGAAAACGAGTCAATTTAGTGAAATTAAATGAGATAAGTAAACTTATCCAGGCTGGCAGCTCAGAAATAGACCTGCAATGCCGTGGCCCACAGTGAGAGCAGGTCTGTCTGCTTCCCCGGACCCTTTAAAGTAGGAGCACTCAGCCTGAGGATGCTCGTATATCGTTAGCGCCCGAGTGTGACCAGTAGGAGATTCGCTATTGGCAACCATCCCAGGAGTCATTAAGCTCGGCCTCTAACTGTCATTGTCCCCCTGCCTGTGGCTCCTCTGGGGTCCACGAGCCAAATTTGTGCCACCTCGAAGTTCAGAGCCATTCCAAAGGTCCAACAGCGATATGACATTACCTTTTAATGGGGCAGATTATTAGCAGAATAGAGATAAACCTGCTGGGTTTGTACGGCCGCTCTCATGGATACCTACGTGAAATAGACTGCAAGGCTTCAAGCGTTACCTGGGTCACCTTCTGTGAGAAGACTTTGCTCACTTTAGGTCAAACTGTAGCTTTAAAGCTACATCATCAAATACCATCTTAAAAGATTAAACTGCAGTCAAGATTCTCTAAAATTCGGTTCTTTTGCTGGTTTTGTATCTTCTTTGCTCTTTTTGGTGAATATGGTTTACTTTTTACTCCTAAAATGTTATTTTCCAGTCGAGCTCACTGAGCTCCTGCACAAGAGTTTGCAGAGAGAGAGTTAGTTTCAAAGTCGATGCCAACACAGCAACTACAGCCGGTGTTGATCTAAATAATCCTGATCATGATATGGATGTAGAAAAAGAAGCACACTGTGGACGTGATGTGGTGGGAATTACTGGAATAACCGCACTGGCACTTTTGTTGCTGGCTATGCAATTACTTTAACTAATTTTCCAAGGCATGTTTAACCAAAGTGTTTGCTTCGATTCAAGGAAATCGACACTTAAAATAATAATAATTATTATTATTACCAAGAAACTGGAGTTAAAGTGATGGCATTGAGCAAGGATGAAAGGGCACAGATTTTATGGTTATGTAATACATTTGGCACATGCATTAGTAAATAAATGGTTTCAAATATTCTGCTGAAGTCTTGTTGTGCAGACACCAGAGAGATGGATGTTGACCTCAGAAGGAAGAGGATGGCTACATGTCTTGTGTCTACCCTGTGGCAGGATGCTGATGTGATGGAGTACACAAACAACCTGGGCATCGACATTGACAGGCTGAACTGAAAGACCAACACAGAGGTGTTGTATGTCTCTGTGCAGTGCAGCAAGATGTTGGAGGTTTTTTAACAGACCACAGCTCTGTTGCATCTAGAGCTGTGGTCTGCTGGTGGTCAGCTGGTGACACCAACAGACTGAATAAAGTAATTGGGAACACTGGCTCTGTGACTGGCACACGTCTGAAGCTTCATGAATAATCCTCACTGCCTTCTGCAACACTTACTGGACAGTCAGCAGAGCACCTTGTCTAACAGACTCATTCAGCTCCACTACCACAAGGACAGACACAGAAATAATAGAGCTCCATTATTATGTAACTTTTTGAAGAGAAAAAGCTAACAAAGAGAAAACGAGCCAACCACTGCTACCCAATATTTGACACTTAGAATTACAAACGTCTCATCGCAGCCTTCAGCTTCATTCACTCTAAGCCTTTATTCTGAGTCATAGTGTGTGTGTTTAATCAGCTTGCCTCTCATTGAAGCTCTTGACAGTTAATACATCATGTTAATAAACTATCTCTTTAGTCTTTTTTAGTTTAGCATGAGAATTACTGCAGTTTTACCACGTCCCAAAATGTTCTCACTGGATGATCAACTTTACATTTATATTTTATCGTGATGGGTGTTCACTTACCCCGAAGTTGGAGGCTGCAAATCTGGCTGGAGCAGAGACATTGGTGGAGGCGGTGGGGTGGGCGTAGAAGGCATTGATGTTGGCCAGCAGGGTGCTCATCACTGCCGGCACCCCTGACAGCATGTACTTAGAGGACAGGCAAGAGAATTGGCTGAGCAGGAGAAGAAATGTGGGGAAACGGGCAGGGGAGAAAGAGAAAGGAAGATTGAGGATATAAATGCAGTTAGCAGGTTAAAAAAAGGCAGAAGTGGTTATGGAGAGGCGGGAAGGAAGGTGGGTAAGCAATTAGGATAAGACAGGTGAGGACAGAGGGTAAGAAGGTCGAGAATGAGACATAAAGAGGCCAGAGGGGGAATCAGTGGAAGCAGGAGGAGGATATAAATTACGGAGAAAAGGGAGAGAGTAATTGAAGTGGACGCAGGAAGGCAGGAAGGAAATAGCAAAACATAATGAGAAGGTGAAAAACAAAAGACACAAAGAGAGACGGACGGGAAATGATCAAAAAATTAAGTCAATGAAGATGAAGAAAGAAGGAAACTTCTTGTGTGGACCCGAAATTAATATTGCCAATGATGATTTAACATTGGGGGGGGAGTTAAACAGTATTTCCCTCTGAAGACCCCAAAAAAAGCTAAAGGAAACTGGATATGGATGGACCAAATGGATTTGAGTTGGGTGCAAACATACCCTGGGTGTAGAATAAAATCTGAGATGTGCAAGCATTTTTCTGTCCCCATAGCTACATTTGAATCAGTTTTGGTCCACTTGGTTTTGGCTGTGGTCTAAATATCTTAGCAACAATGTAGCAAACACAGAATGACACAAAACAGGAAAGCTGATGCTGAAGGCAGCCAGTTTTAACGGAGGCTGGAGAATGGGAACTCCTTTATTCACTCTAAAGACTGGCCCCTGTATCCACGCGTCACAAGATGATCTCATATTCTTTGTGTTGTCATTTTGAATCCACACGCCAGCAAAAGATGTGGAGTCATACGAGGGGGTGGAGAGGTTTCAGAAAGCCACTGAACTGAAAAGATGCATGCAGCTACAGCAAAAAACTGTCTTTGAGCCAAATCTCAAAGTGATGAAACCAGGTTTCACTGTCGCAGAGGAAATGGCTCATTCAGTGGAAGATGCTGCAAAAAGAATATGAGTATTTGCGAGTGGTAGCTTTTTCTGAGAAGCAGAGGCTGTAAAGAGCAGAGAAACTACATGATAAAAACAAACTTTCTCACACAGAAAGCAGACACTACACTGAGTTGTCATATTGAGGGGAAAAATAATATATTACATTTAATTAAACAGCCAGTTGTATGGCAACTGTGCGGCAACCTTCACGTAAAACGTAATCAGAATGCATTTTTTCAGTTGACTAACATGATGACTTTTTTATATGTTAAGTGGAGCATAATGTATGTGAACAAGCTTTTAGGGAAACTGACATTTAATTTCTTTTTACTGAAATAAAACATCTCAGAAGCTGCAAGTGTCTGGCCCCTGATGTCATTGATGTTTCCCAGTGTGGAAGTTTGAAGCGGAGCCCTTAGAAGCTCACTTTTGCAGGATGCCAAATTGCTTCTAAACTTATCCACAAAATTATAAATTGTTTGGTACAAACAAATACACACATACCATTTAGAGTGTGTGAAATGTTAGACAGGGTCCTAAAAACAGGTGAATAAATTAATTTCCTCATCGGTGAAGGAGCTGTTCGGTTCACCGAGTTCTTAGTGAGACTTCTATAATGGCCACAGTGTTCTTGTATATTCCAATCACCACTTTCATTTGGCTGTGTCATTGAACGGCTCATATCCACATTTCCGCTGGGACAGAGTCTGGCCCACTTCTGCTTACAGCTTCACTTCACTCAATATTTCCCCACATGATTGCGTTATGTGATTGCGCTCCTTTTCCCAGCACACAAAACCAACACACGTCCCTTTAAGCCCAAATTCTGACATTATTAATGCAATTAAACCAGGATGTGTGTATGAATGCTTGCTGAGTGCTTCTGTGCCCCTGCCTGCAATGATCCAACCAAACAGCAGGGAAATCTCTGAGGTGAGGGGTCATCTTTTCTCATTAGGTGAGATAAACTAATTTGCATGTTGTTTATAGTTCATGACATTAATGCCTCCCATCACATTAACATGCAGGAAACACACAGGTCCACAAATAATACCGACGAGCCCCTCCTGATACATCTACCTCACATCACAGCCTGTTGGATGGACTGTAGTCAAGTGTTCGGTAAGTTTGCAAACAGAGCTTACGTCATGGCCTGGAAGATGGACTCAACGCCGTAACGCATCGCAAACTCATCCACAATTTCCTGTTGCACTTCATCAAAGTAAACCTTCCACGCGTCGTCTCCCTGAGCGGCCGGGATCTTCACCGCGCCGCCTCCCTCGACATCCGTCGTAAAGTGAAACGTATTCTAGAGAGAGGATTTAAAATTTTAAAAATGTAACTGTAATTATTAACCACATGAAACAACTTTGTTTATTTTAGGAATCTGTTTTGTGTTAGCAAACAGACTCAGACGTGTGTCTACTGATCCTCAAAAAGTATTTATGAATATTTCCATTTCAAACAGAAATCCCAAAGAGGTGTGAAAAACGTTCCAAGACTTTTCGGATAACCAAAAACAATCAAAAGTCATTCCTTCAGTGCCCTCCTCTCACCTGAAATCTGAAGGTGATCAGTCTTTCTCGGTTGCTGCCCCTAAGCTGTTTTGTTTTTATTGTTGTTTCTGTAGTTATGTTTCAGTAAGAATGGAGTAAAAATGGCATCAGTGGTTTATCAGTGATTGCACAGATATTTTTCTATTTCAGCAACCAGTTGCAAAAAGCTGCAGTGACCAACTGATTGGCCAGAGGTTGAGCGTGCAGGGTTACTGGTGGGAGGCAACCTGCTTCCAAACAATCCAATCTGCCATCTGGTCAATAAATGCAGACAGATCACACAGACTGACTGCGATGAGTCTCTTTACAATAGGAGACATGACTCAGCTGGTTATATTCTGGTTGTATTCATATAAAAACAAGGTCACCGAGCGCCCGTGCCGTTGTGCAGTTACACTGCATCTCTATTTGTGGAGAAACTTCAGTTTCAAACCTGTGAGGTTCTGGCTGGACTCTAAAGGCAAGGCAAGTTTATTTGTATAGCACAATTCAACAACAAGGTGATTCAAAGTGCTTTACAGAGACATTAGAAACAAGAACAAATAAAAAGCATGATTTAAAATTGAATAAAACAAGCAAATAAACTAACTAACTAATTAACAAACAAACAAACAACAGTATATAAAATCAAAACAGATAAAATCAGAACAGTAGATAAAATCAGTAGTTAAATGTAAGTTTTGAAATTTAAGCTTAAAGTGTGGATTTGGTGCTTTATTCAAATGCAGCTGAGAACAGGTGAGTCTTCAACCTGGATTTAAATAAACTGAGTGTTTCAGCTGATCTGAGGCTTTCTGGGAGTTTGTTCCAGATATAAGGAGCATAAAAGCTGAATGCAGCTTCTCCGTGTCTGGTTCTGACTCTGGGAACTGATAAAAGACCGGATCCAGATGACCTGAGGGATCTGGATGGTTCATACTGGGTCAGGAGGTCATTGATGTATTTTGGTCCTAAACCATTCAGAGCTTTATAGGCCAGCATCAGAACTTTAAAGTCTATCCTCTGACGGACAGGCAGCCAGTGTAAGGACCTCAGAGCTGGACTGATGTGGTCCACTTTTTTGGTCTTAGTGAGGACTCGAGCAGCAGAGTTCTGAATGAGCTGTAGTTGTCTGACTGATTTTTTAGGTAGACCTGTAAAGATGCTGTTACAGTAATCAAGCCTACTAAAGATGAATGCATGGACTAGTTTTTCCAGGTCCTGTTGAGACATCAGATCTTTTATCCTTGATATATTCTTGAGGTGATAGTAAGCTGACTTTGTTATTGTCTTAATGTGTTTTTCTAAGTTTAGGTCTGCATCCATCACTACACCCAAATTTCTCGCCTGGTTTGTGGTTTTTAGATGTATAGATTGAAGTTCTCTGGTAAATGTAAGTAGCTAATTTGAATTTCTGTTTAATTCAATCTGATTTAATGTCTCTGTGTACACAGCACTGATTTATTCACAGCTGACTGCAGTATTGTCACACACAGACTGCATGTAATTGTCAACCTGACCCCGTTCAATTGTAAACAGACTTATCGCACACGACCATAATCGTTGTGCTCGTGCCGTGGTCTCTCTTTTATGTGGTAAATTGTGAAAGCTGTTTTAACCATTTCTTTGTTGATAGCTTCATCTGAATAGAAACTATAGCATAGCAAACTGTTTAACAAATACAGTCAGTGTCCCCACGACATGTTTGATGTCCTTTACCTCATGAAGGCACATGTACTGCACGTGGTAGGGCGCCACCTTCTCCTCTCCCTCAATCTCCACGCTGATCTGAAGACGGATGGCACCAGACACCGCCGACTTGTCTGTCCTCTTTTCTGTAAGTAGAGAAAAACACAGACACAATTACTCTGAAGTGAAACATCACTCAGAGTTGAATTTGAGATGCTCTTTAGGTCTTAGATGACAAACAAACACTCTGAGACATTTATTCCCATAATCCTCTGAGTTCTGAGTGACTACATACCCAGGGTATACCACACGTCCATCTCTCCACTGAGCGTTCGGACCTCAATGATGCTCTGTCCCAGGAAGTCGTCCGACTCCCTCTTCAGACGCTGCTTCACTCGCGACTTGATGTCATCGTCCTCGTCCCAAACCCGCAGCTTGATCCGATCTGATGAGTTGTGGCACTCGCTGTGCAGACAGGGAACAGGTGGGTGGGCTGTTGTTTTGACACATGTGGCAGCACGCAGCTGAGGCATATGCAAGCCCAGAGCAAATAAACATATGTCTGAAATGATTTAAGAACCACATGCTTTATCACTCTGCAGCCAGCAGCTCCTGACTCATTAATTTGAAGGAAAAAAAATGTTTTCGTCTTGGCTATATTTATAAAAATAAAAAAAAATAGATGTCCTAACCCAAAGCTGAAATATAGCTTGAAGAAGTGCATGTGACGCAACTTTACATCGTGCATATTTTAAATCTCCAAACCTCTCCTCTTATGTGCTTTATCCGTACAGAGGAAAGTTTTAAACTTCTTAACTGCTCTAAAATTCATATAAATATACAAAGTGAGAGGGCTACCAATGTTGCACCAGACAATAAAAGCTAATAAGACGCATTAGTGCTAACTGACCCACACTGGTCTGCAGCTGTTCAAATATTCCTTACTTATTAATCAGATTATATAATAAAGTCAATGAAAACCAAAGGAGGGCATACAAAATTCTATCAAACAGAACATCCACAACATTCAACCCACTGACAGGAGGCGTGCTTAACATGACTGCTGCCTTTAAAGTTGGATTTTCCTGGGAAACTTTGGTCTAGACATTGACGTGGGTGTTACTTTGAAACGTACCGCCCACCATTGCTGCGGCACAATCACACACCTCACATGTCAGGCCTCCCTCATGGAAACAATGTTAGACCACAATATAAAAACTTGATGAAAACCCAGGCATTAATCTGCCTGGATATATGATCCCAAGGCCACAACCCATTGGACCCAAAGGAACCACAGATACTGATACTACTGCTGTATATGCATTTTGCTATTTCTAAGTCCTGCACACCTTTACATCTGTTCCACTGGGCTCCGTGTACTTAAAAAAGATGCTGTGATCAGGAACAACACAGCAAAGATGATCACGAGGAATACTCTGTGCAAACCCACACAGTGTTGAAAAGACCTCTAACGAACCAAGTGAAATCATCTGTGTGGGTTTCCTATGGATGTGCGGGACCTTCAGGAAAACGATTACAAATCATCTTCTTGCACAGCGGGGTCACCGTGACAGAGGCACATAGCTTTCAGCTCCAACTACATTTTAAACCTGGAGGAAAACAGCAACTTGCACTTACAAGCTGAACTTTTCCTCCCAGACTGGGTTCAGGTTGCCGTAGATTGTCTTTGTTCTCTTCTTGGTTTTACCCACTTGGATGGTCACATAAGGATCACTGGAACCTGTCCTGTCCTTGGCCTGGAGACCCTGGGCACTGACGACTGACACACACACACACACACACACACGCGCACACACACACACACACGCAGAGAAAATGACTATGAAAATTGCATAAGAACAACAAACACCTACTCCCTACCATCATCTTTCGGTTTCTCATTCACATACACATCGAAACACACAATATCACCCACACAGTTATGCAAAGCCTCGTAACACAATACTCGTGACTCACAGGCAGATGTTGGGTAACATTTTTTACTAAATATCTTAAATAACCGCGAGGTTTTGTGCAACAAGTGGTGAAAGTAGGCTTTAAAAAACCCTGAGGCTATGATGTGGTCCCACTGTTGCACCAGAGCGTAGTGAAGCCTGTAGTGTCAGCAGCACATGGCATGCAATCTTTTTTTATCTCCTTTTTGCACATTGCATTCTGTATGCTGCATCTGTACCTTACTCTCCTAAAACAACCAAGCAATAAATGAAAAGCCGCTTCTGTGACACCTGGCTCTGTTTGGCTTCTCTCCAGTCAGCTGGCACAAAACTTTTTTGATAGACGGATGATCTGAATTGTGTCTGGAGACATTTATCAACAACGGAAGGTCAACAGGTACCAAGGAGGGCCAACTTCATTTCTGCCATCTCTCACTGTCACTTTAATCCAGGTGAGAAGGCAAGCGGGATTTCTGCAGCACATACTAATGAAGGGAACTATTCATAGCTGCAGACTTTAACTAGAGCTGAAGCCTGAGGACAAATGAACTAAGCAACATGCACGCACATTTTCTAGGACCGGGAGGAAGGTTATTGACAGAAATTCGACATGCAGGGTGAGCTCAGGGTGAGTCTCATCATTCAGAACGTAGCAAATGATGCCGATTGCACAACCTGTGTGTGTCCGAGGCCATAAATAGCTGTTGCTTAACAGCAAACACTGACTGTAGTTAAAGAGTGTGACATGTTTTTTGTGTCTAATATTTGAAAAAAGCCAGTTTATGTATGAAATGTAAACAGGCGATCACATCCGTTTTTAATTTTAAAAATAGAAAAAAGAATAACACATTTATGCCATTTATGAATATCTACACTCAAGCATTTTATTAGGTACACCTGTTAGAGTGCTTGTTAATGCAAATGTTCAAATAGAGCAATCACATGGCAGCAATTCCACTCATGCAGGCATGCAGACATCGTCAAGATGAGCTGCTGAAGTTCAAACTGAGCATCAGAATGAGTAAGAAAGGTGATTTAAGGGACTTGGATGGTTGTTAGTTGTGGACAGGCTGGTCTGAGTATTTCACAAACTGCTGATCTACTGGGATTTTCCTGCACAGTCACCTCTAGAGTTTACAGAGAATGGCCTGAAATACTAAAATCATCCCGCGAGCAGCAGTTCAGCAGAAGAAAACGCATTGTTGATGCCAGATTCACCAAAAAAGCTGGGAGGCTGAGTAAATTATAATTCAAAACAGAATGCAATCTTTGACAGTCGCATACCCATATTTTATTTATAATAGAACATAAAAAACAAATTAAATATTTGAGCTTAGAAAATGTACCATATTCAAGGGCAGCAACATGTCTCCAAAAAGTTGGGATTGAGCAACAAATGTCTGGAAAAGTAAATGGTGCTAAAAACGACAATCAGGTTAATTGGCGACAGGTCACTGACCTGTCTGTGTATAAAAAGAGAGGCAGAGTTTTTCAGAAGTAAGGATGGGCAGACGTTCACCACACTCCAAAGAATGATGTCTAAAAATTGTGGAACAAATTCAGAATGATGTAAATCCCATTATTAGTGCCTAATATCACTGAAAGAGTCTGAGAAACTTGAAAAATCTCTGTGCATAACGGGCAAAGCCTTTTAACTGCATTCACATGCATCGCTCCGTGGGCTCAGGAGGTTTTAGCTCAACATATGCTCCCAGCCAGATGACTTTCTCCTGCTTCTCTCCAGGGAAGGTTTTGTGTATTTCAGCAAGACAACAACAGCACGGCTTCACAGTAGAAGAGTCTGGGTGCTGAACATTTGCATCATCGCGAAACTAAAACTACAGCAAAGAAGACCCAGGACTGTGAAGCAGCAGGAATCTTCCATCAGACAAGAACGGGACAACATTGTTCTCCTGTTAGTCCAGCAGGTGGTCTCCTCAGTTCCCAGATGTTTGCACACAGTGGGAAACATGATGTCATCAAAATCAAAATTACCCAATTTCTTTAAATGGTCCGTTTTCTCACTTTAACATTTGTTTCCTGTTTTTTCCCAAATAAAATGTCGATTAACGAGATGTATGTTCGAATGTACGATTAATATGCTGTTATGAGCCATAACGTTCCAGTCATATATTTGCTGTCTGTTCATTTAGTGGCCACGTCTCTGTGCTAAAGAGCATTTTGAATATAAATTGGTTATTCCCTACTGGAATCGAGTGACTCTTCAAAGAGCTCTCTGTGAAGCATCTCCTGTCAGTCCAGAGGGGTTCGAGTTAAAAGCGCTTCGAGTTGTATTTCAGATGGATGACATGACTGACGTTTTAGACAGCTTGATCAATTTATAGACACATGCAGCCTTTTCTTTATCGTGTTTAAAAAGTTCACTTGTTTAAAGGGTTTTATCCCATTTACAACTACAGAGAAAAGCTTTTCTTGTGCTTACAAGCAGCCACACTGATAGGAGGACTGTACAAAGAGATTATGCGTCCAAAGCTTCTGAACATGTACTTTTTAAAAAACTATTACTGTCATGGTCCTGGTCGGTGACCCAGCGCTTTGAGTCTATTATTATTATTTTCTAGTTTATTCTGATTTTGTATTAGTTCTTTGGGTTTGGTTGTCGTGTTTATTATCCCTGCCTCTGTGCTCTGTTCGGGTTCCCGAGTTTTGTGTTGTAAAACAGTCTGTGTGTTTCCTGTTTTACTTTGTAGGTCAGTCTCGTTATGCCCATCACTTCCAGCTGTGTCCCCTCCTGTGTGCCATTTCCTGGTTACCTGGTGTGTGTATTTATAGTATGTGTCGCGTCGTCTGTGTTTCTCTGTGAAGCTTCTGCATCATTTTGGTATGTCTCCGTGTCTCTCTGTTCCTCGCCTCGTGTCCTCGGTTTGTGTTAGTTTTCCCAGTTTAGGTTTATATTCAGTTCTGCCCTCACCTGGTTTTTCACTGTAAATAAATCTCCACCTGCATCTCCACTGCCATCTGCATCTTGGCTCCTCGTTCATTCCACCACACGACTGCTGCCCCAGCCGTGACAATGACTGCATATCAAGAATTGGTTGAGTATGTTTGTCAGACCTCGTTCAGCAGGAAAGTGAATGACAGCCATTAGGTTATGAATGATTTTCAGCAAAGCAGCAGCTCCACGCCCGTCCCTGTATCTCATCTTTAAATGAGCTCATCTCTGCTGATTGGGGAGACAAGGTGTGATGGCTGCTATGGAAACACTGCTGCCAATATATGGTGTGATATGTCTGGTTGCTTTGGTAACAGTGGCAGTCCTGATGATGTGCGGCGAAGAGAGGTGGGGATGTGAATCCGTTCAAATTAGTAACTCCTTCCTATAAACAGTCAAAGTTTCAGCACAGCTCAGTAGACGGTGTGAGGAAAGAAGATGCTTTATGAATATGGGTGGATATTTTTTTAGCAACTGTCGCGCTCCGGCTCAGCGACACTCTGCTTCACTTCTACACAGCTGCAGGTTTACACAGGTGTCGGCGACAACTGTGCCAGCTTTCCTAACACTCTCATCGGATTTGAATATGCATGAAAAAAACTGCTTTGCTTTTCCAACTTTCTAACACCCACAGTCACTCTTTGGGAAAGTGTCGGAAATTGTGCACTGAGGCCTGGTTGACTAAAATTTAGGCCTCCTTAAAGGCACTGTGTGTTTTTTGCATTTACCAGAAGAATTTATTTACTAACGGACATTAATGACACCTTAGGGACTCAGCCAATCCCAGGTGATCCCAGCCCATATCAGCTGACACCTTAGCTGAAACCCATTAGCCTGACTAAAGCTGCTGCTGCCTCTGCAAGACACTTTGCAACCCACCATTCAAACCAGTTTCATATTTGTCACTGATGCCTGTGGAGGTCTTGCTGGTGCTGTAACTACTGTATACTTTCCACATATAAGCGGAGATTATTTTGACTAATGTGGGGCCTAACTAAAATACACTAAACTAAATGTGGCTGAAGTCAGTGTTAACCCTTTAAGACCTACCATAGAACCAAGTCCGCCAGAGCTTATATTATATTTTTACACGCTGTGGAGCCATTTTTGGGAGCATTTCAAGTTGCTATACATCAATACAACCATTATAGCCCAAATTTTAATAATATGTCTGCATTAAGTGCATAGTAATTACATAAATTGCAAAAAAGTGCAATAAACTACAAAAAAATTGAAAATCGTTTTTGCTTTTTTAACATATATTTCTAGTTAGAGAAATTTAAGAGGCGTATCCCTCAAAACTGTAAATACAAAAAAGTTGCACAAAATAGTTTCCCACCAAAGGAAATTAATTTTAAGTGTCTTCATAGTTTTATTTTTGAAATACACCAATTTTCATATACTGCAGGAAAAACGAAAATAAATATTATAATGCAAATTTGCAAAATAACAGCATATGCATCAAAATAAACTATTTCCAGCAGTGCAATATGAGTCCTAAGCATCCCAGAGACGACACAGAAAGTCATAAAGTCAAAAATTACTTTTAAAAACACCAGTATAGGCTCATAAGGCCCTGATGGTAAAAAACTACATTTCCTCAAAAATGACGTCACTTCCGGTTTCGACATGGCGGACATGCAATGGTTCACGCTGATGGACATAGGAAGTGTTATGAACAGCTGATCGGATCTGCAAAGCGTGTTTCTGGAATATTATGTTTTTGTTGCTGCAAGTGCTTTTTATGCAGCTTTTGCAAAGCTATATGTGGAAGGAAACCGTGACCGAGGACAAGCTGATGGCATAAGATGTAAGTACAACTCCTCCGGTTTCATATGCAGAAAAAAAATATTGCGCTAGCTCACGTGATTGCAGTGCTACCGAGATTTAAAAATAGTTAGGCAAAATGGAGCGTTTCTGCTCCGACCGGCTTTAAAGGGTCAATAATAAAAGGGAACCTTTACATTTTACTAGAGTGAAAAGAATCTGGGAATTACTTTTCCTGGATGTCTGCAAGAAATTTGCTCCTAACAGGAGTCTGAAAATGTTGGGGAGAGTTTGTGCAAATGTGTTTTTATCTTTCAATAGCTGAAAGTGAGACAAAAGCAGAGGCAGATTAAGGATGCCTTGTAGTGAAATGCGGCATTTGGACTCCAGTTTAAAACTACCGTAAACATTTCAATGGTCTCTGTAGAGAAAACAGGCAACTGTTTAGGTCTTTAACTTCAAATAAGAAGTAACAAGTAAATACCATTGATGGTGATCTTGGCTGACCACTTGGAAGTGCCATCCAGCACACTCTGTTTAATGTTCTTCATGTTCTGGGTGTGGACCATCTTGGAGACGTTGAACACTTTACGGATCTCCTCAAAGATCTCTGGCTTGTTCCTCTCGCGGATTTTCATCCGGTCTTTCATGGCCATGATGATGTGCTGCGTCCGGTCCTCTGCCCCGGTCTTGGAGCTCTTCTCGGCCGCTCCTGAAGGCGATGCAGCGAGTTCACAGGAAGCAATAATAAATATGACAATTCAGCTGTCAGGTAGTTTAATAACTTTACTTACTTTGCAGGCAGTCAGCGTTTAGCAGCTCTTGGCATTTCTCATGCACTTTGACCCCACACTCTGCACAGCGCATTCCCTGCCGGGCGATGCCCCACAGCAGACCCTCGCACTCGTAGCAGTAAGTGGGTGTGGTGGCGGTCCACACTTCAAAATTGTGCGGCGTGGTGCAGGAGATGGGGTAGATGAGAGCCTGCAGGGTCTTCTTGTATACGTGGTTTTTCTGTTGGAGGAAAAAAGAGAGAGAGAGGAAGCGATAAAGAGAACGTGCGTCTGAAAGAAGCATAAAAGCGAGGAGTAGGACTGGTTTTTTAAAACATTTCCCAAAGAAAGTAAACGGAGGGAGCAGACAACAGCTTAGAGACTGATATGGAGCAAAAAGGCGAGGATGCATAACAAGGCAAGACAGAGGACGATGAGGTCAGTGACAGAAATGCACAAAAGACTATTCGCACTTAGTAATACATAATTATATAAAAGTATATATTAGCTAGTTGTGTTCACTGTAGTCTGATTTAAGTAAGGTCTGCAGAAGTAATTCAGGAAAGCTGTCAAAATTAACCACAGCGTAATTTTAAGGAAGTATCATTTAAAATTACAGCGAGCTTTGATTATGTACAGCAATTAATTTGATTGAAATTCTACGACTTTTCTCTGACGAACTAAATTCTGATGTTGTAGGAGGAGTGTGGGAGGAGGTGAACAATCTATACAAGACCAGAGGACACCTTGACAAGAAGCCCAGTTTGATTTGGTGAATTTTGTATCGAGGGCAAGTGAGTCATTATTATTGTTAATGCTCTCTTTATTCTTTTCTTTATAATTACCATCGTAGAGATGCTGGTGTAGTGGAGTTACTAATAGAAATGACTGTTTTGTATCAATACTTTCACTTTTATTGATCTGACCTTTTGATTTCACTTTGTGCTTTTCTGTGATTTTATCACCTCTGATTTCCATTTGTCTGCGACTGTTTTTGCCACAGGATGAACCTTTAGGCTTTCTGAATTGGTGAGAAACAAACTTGGAATCGGAATCCAACAAAATAAAGAGTCTGCAACACAATTCATGAAGGTTTATATATTATAGGAAAAAAGGTGAGAGGCCATCAATACGGTTCAGTCCACCAACACAACCTATGGCCTTAAAACTAAAGTCACTCAGTTATAAGGCGAGCCGGTATTTATTGCATGGTCTATTTTTAGCATTGCACTTGAGCTGCACAAGTCTTCTACACTGTAGGACTCTAGTAAACTGCGTTTCATCCAAATAAGAGGCTCTTAATTTTTCATGTGTAATTATACTCTGAAAAGAAAATCCCAACCTTTGAAACTCCTCCTGTCCTCTGCTGTATCATTTTCTGCCAAATCCAGTGACCTACTTTATGCACTTTAATTATTAATGCTTCTTCTGATATATAATGTAATCACCATCATGACTTGGCACAGGCGAGGCATGGAAAAGAATTGCAGAATGAACTATAATAAACAAACATGAAGTCTGCCCCTGCCTCCATTAAAACATGAAGCTGTCTGAAGTTGACTCAGCAAAATCCAGAGCCTACAGTATATTGGATCTCCAACAAACAGATTAACAATATGGCTGCAGGATAATGACAGCAGGAAAACAGTTGGAGGGAAAAAAGTGTGAGAAAGTGTGTGTGACTGTTTGTAAAAATAAGTTGAGGTCTGCGTGAGTCCCCATTAGCTGGCATCGAGGTGACAAGTCTCCCTGTAGGTAACTCACACCTTTATTGTGTGTGTGTGTGTGTGTGTGTGTGTGTGTGTGTGTGTGTGTGTGTGTGTGTGTGTGTGTTGATCTGTATGGCATATGCACTTGGCCACTCACAAGCTCTTCGTCTTTCAGGGAGGTCCGTGTGGCCAGTGTGTGGGCGAGTCCAGCTTTCCTGGACTGTAGCATAGACTAGAAATGAGAGAGAAAACAGAAATCAGGACTTCACAGCCACGGAGAAATACGCAAACAAACACGTTTAAAAGACAAAGACAAAGAAAACTTTCAGCTTTAAAATTCAGGAAATCAATAGTTTGTGTGATGTTGGGCTTTTCTTTGAAAGCAGTGAAAGCTCAGCATCACAAGAACGACACACGCTTTTGTTCTCCTTTTGTCTTTGAGGCACACTGTCTGAAACACACTACTCTCACGTATTGTCTCCTTGAGGACGAACCCTCACGCACGCTCGCACTGCTACAGTTGTGAGGCTCTTTGTAATGAACGATTAGCAGGAATCTTTCAAATTTGCTCGGCAGGTTTGTCGAGGCTGAAGGCAGAGTTTTCAGTGGCACAAAGGTGGTTATGTTTTACCTTCTGAGATGAGCAGATAATATTCACTACGAATATCACGTATGTCATATATGAGGCTGTTAAGTCATAGGTTAGGTTAATTCAGGGGGGCATGGAGTAACTGCCCACAGATTTACATTTTATGATTAAGTGTTTATGGAGGTGCTGAAAACCATTAAGTGTACAAAAAAGATATAAAAATAACAAATGCAGATAGGATCATGTGAGCTGTTGCTCTGCCGGTATCATCACCACACAGTGATGCTCCTTCACAATACAGCGAATCTGCGAAACATTGTTAGATAATTGTCGACACTGCAAGATCTTACTATGAACCCTGAAATGATACAACTATACGTATTTATTCACTGTATTTATGTTCATTACTATTGGCTTACCTTGCTTTTTTACTTTTTTTTGTATTTCTTGGTCACCACAATTTGCTTATCTTCACTAACCTGACCTTTTGGTAAGTTTTGGTTAAAAAAAACAAAAAAAAAAAAAAAAACCCACACAAGAACAAGTTTTGCAGTTGGTCTTCAGGTTTTTGTTCCACATCTGGAATTTCAGCAAATTGAGCAAAAATATAAAAAATAAGATCAAGTTTAAATTTTAGGCCTCTGTTGTGCGGCTGTAAGAAATAAAAAGAAGCACTAAAGATGCTCTGAGAGAAACATCATATATTAACTTCTCTCGTGTCTCAGTTGGAAATGTTATCGTTATCCTTCACATCTCTCTATGACCTGTTCTTGGCTGGAGTAGGCGGCACTCGATTATTCAAATCATGTGTCAAACGCGGAGCCTTAAGCTGAAAGCTTTGTACAAGAAAACGAAGCTAATATCATTACTGGATTTTGATGAGTCTGCTAACACAAAGGAAGCCCGGTTATGTTGAGCTTGCTTTGTGCTCCGCCCCTCTCTGCATCATTTTCACTCTCAGCATTTCAACATTTATTGAAGTTGTTCTCCTTGCTTCCAGTCTTTGTGCTAAGCTAAGTTAATTTTCTGCTTCTTGTTGGTTTACATTTAATGTGAAACTATAAGAAAGTTATTGACTAAAAAGGAAGTAAATAAAGAGAACACAGGTTAGAAACCACTAAAGCTGAAAAGTGTTTCCATTTCTCATTTGTGTGACGCACCTGAGAATATTCTTCAAATACATGCACAGATTTCTTAATCCTACAGTGACTCCTCTCACAGCAGCTTGCTGTCAGTTATCATCATGTTAAACTGATCAAAGTCATTTATTTGCAGAATGAGTCATTACGAAACTCTTCACTTGAAGAAGCAGTATTTTGATTGAGTGCAATGAAGAGTTTTCTGATTGTTAGTTGCCTGTATTTAGTTTAGCTTCCTTCATTGGAAATTAGTGAGAGGGAAATCAGATCACAGTTACCGAGAGATACTTATTACTCTCTTTTTGTGACATCAAGGGCTAAAATTAATTAATTTACAATGTCAAAAATGGCCCATTATATGGAGTGAGGGTTTTTTGGAGTATAGATTGTATATATACACATTCAAGGTCTTAAACATCTATATCAATAAACCAAACTTTCACTGGTTCTGTCTAACCTAACAAAGGTAATTACGTATCGTAGCTTTAATATTAGCCTGGCATTGGATCACACTGAGCCCTGAATTCGTGCTCATATGAGTGGAATGAGCTGTTTCACATACGTGTCACATTCACTGAAACCAGGAGAACCATCAGTATGATCAGTTTATAATCATGCATGTGAGATAGATATAAGACCTTTTGCTTAGTCACGGTTTTTCTGATGATTAATCACATGCCAGTGCCACAACCTCCTGTTATTTTTCAACTAGTTTGTTGTGTTCGTGTGAACTTATCAGTGAAGTGAGGTTATCGAATTCTCTGAACAGTCATTGCGAGCCCTCTTAAAACACCATCGTCTTTCCTGTTAGAGCTAACTGTTCAATAATTTGCTGTAATGGTCAGTTCTCTGACATAAGCCTCTCTGGCTGAAGTGCATCAGCCTGAAAGGTATTACCAAGCATGCTTAAAGAATTAAACCCTCTCCAGCCGTGACTCACTGGAAAATTTCTTTTTTCTTTCTAAATGCTCAGCTTCTCCTAATCCATTCTGACAGCTAAGCTCATAGAAGTGGATACGATACCACTGGACAGGTAGACAGCCCAAGGTGAAATATCTTTAAAGTGCCAAAAAGAGGTCAGTCGATGCTGGAAAACATAAAAACATGTCCGTGGTCCAGTAGCACAGACTGGAAGCTCCTGTCTGTGAGCAGGGAAGGTTAAAAGAGTATCTAGAATTTATATCTTCATATCTTTTGTAGAAGGATGTCCTAGCAACAGGATGCAACGCAATTATTTTATTCTATGCCAGGGGTGGGCAACTCCAGGCCTCGAGGGCCGGTGTCCTGCAGGTTTTAAATATGTCCTTGATGCATCACAGCTGATTTAAATGGCTAAATTACCTGATCAACATGTCCTGAAGTTCTCCAGGTAATGAACTATTCATTTGATTCAGGTGTGTTGACCCAGGGTGAGATCTAAAACCTGCAGGACACCGGCCCTCGAGGCCTGGAGTTGCCCACCCCTGTCCTAAGCAAACCTAGCCCTAATCTAAATGGAAAGAGATCCATAACTTTAATTTCAATAACACCAGGGTTTAAAAAACAGGACTGGCCATCAAATGTTATTAAAAAAACAAAACACTTTAAAGGTTTTATGAATTTTTAAAGTTATATTTGTCATGGTGAGTGCTGTGTGGCAGGCAGGATGAAGGGCCCAATTGCAGGACTCGGAAACAGAAAGTTAAACTTAGGGCGTAGCTAACGCTACATAAAAATTAACTTAACAAAAGCTAACTATAATGTCAAACACAAAAACTAGAAACTAAACTGTACACTGGAGACTAAACTGGGAAACACGAGCTAGGGAATTCTCGGAACACGAAGGGAGCAAACACAGCACGGAGTGAGTGTAGCTTAACAACGCCACAATGACCAGGAGAAGACTGAGGACTAAAACACACATCGGAGAACTCAGAGAACGGGAAACAGGAGGGAAACACAACTGCAACTAATTAGGCAGGACGTGACAAGAGAAGGAAAAGTAAACATGCTAACAAAGCACACGAGACTATCAAAGTAAAAGCGGAAATACGGCACGCTGCAGCTCAGTCCACATAACATCACAATCAGCCAGAACCAGAAGTCCACTACATCTAGTCAATACGCATCCCACTGTATCTATGTGTGCCTGTTTCCTGGTTTGGCTGCATTACTCTTTGGCTGGACACCATGTTGCTCCTAAAAAGCTCTCTGCTGTAAGTGTGCTTTGCATTGTAAAAATAGCAGCAATTTTGTAATTATCTTATTTCTATTTATCTGAAACTTTTACTCTTTACAGGTAACATTACAAACCACTGTCTGTTCATATTTTTACTCTTCTTTCCGAGTTTCTGCAGTTTCATCCTCAAACTACTTTAGCTCCATCTGAAAAGTTTCTTGTTCATCCGTGGGCATCATCTCCTGTCTGGGAAACTTACTCTTTATGATTGATGAATTGACAAAGCTTGATGAAGTTAGATGAGCTTGTTCAAGAATCTTTATATCCCTTCAAACCTGATCTGTCACATCAGCCATTGAAAGAGTGACCTTCACCCTGGAGCATCACTTTAAATCAAAGGAGACGAGTTTCTTTAATCAAACAAGTCTCAGGGACTGAATATTCACAGCTGCAGCCAATGGATCTACGTCTGAGCCTCTCCAAAGTACTCAGCTGAAGACTGAGGGGAGAAAGCCACTACTTACCTTAACATTTATTAGCGTTTTTGTAGAGTAGTGGATGTGTTATGTAAAAAAAATGGAGCGGTTTAATTGAAAACACAAATCCCCCTCAAAAAAAGGCCAATCTGAAAATATTCACACAAAGTTTTGTCAGCTTATTTTGAAATAAACGGATTTATATTTGACTCGTATGTGCTGCATGTGTGTGCACGCTCACACTGAATGTATGAAAACCCACAAAAGAAAAACTCGCACTGAGCAGATCAAAATGCTTCGCTACAAAGCAGAGTTTGAAACAAAGCGCCTCAAACAAATAATAAAGTACAGCAGCTGAAATCTCTGGTCTTTTACTCACCATAGCCTGAGGGCCGACAAAGGCAGGGAGACATGTGCAAAGAAAGAAAACAAGAAGAAAGAAAAGGTTAGAGACAAAACAAACAGGTTCCCCTCTGAGAGGACCAGCAGCTTTTACCCTGAAACCAACAATTCACTGCTTGCAAACAAACTACTACCCAGCGATCGCTGCTGTACAGTGCTATTTCAAGCATGTACCTGCAAATTATCAATCTTTAAGAATCAAATCAGGTGATTGTAGTACGTACAACTCTTGCATAAGTTTTTTTTAATTGCCACTTTAGAACCTGAAGGCCTTTAATAGGTCATTACAGCTGAAATCCATAAGTAAAGTTATGGCAAAACATCTCGTGCACCACAGTCACAAAGAGAAACAAAAACTATGCACTAGACAAAACAACACATTGGAAAATCCCCGTAATACATATTTGTGCAATGGGTACATGAAAAAAAACAAGCAAATGAGAGCAACGGTTGCTTTGGTGACCATCGTCAGGCCAACAGTGTGTACTCCACCAAAGCTCAGCATTGAAGCTCATGAATCTGAAAGGGGGACTATTATGCTTTTATTTATTTTCTGACTTGTATGTATTGGTACTGCACAGGTTAGTAAACCCTGTGAACCAAAAGCTGAACCTTCAGACTTCTGTGAACGGATTCAGCTTTTTTTACCTTACACGATAACTTTGAGACGCACTTTTGGCTGTGAGCACAGAAGCCCCACCCTTCCTTTGCTGATCCTCTGCTGCTCAAACCTTTAGTTTATGGTAGCAGCCAATAAGAGGAAAGTATGTTCATTTCCTGTTTAAGCTCCTCCCCTTTTAAGCTAACTAAGTCCCCTATGATCTATACTGCCTTAGCTTTATTTCGGATATTTATCAGCAGTTTCTTTAACCCAAACGTTTCAACTGAGTGATAAGGAATGGAAGCTGCAGATATTCATTTATTTCACACTGCTGTTTTGGTGCATACGGTAAAAATACTGTTAACTAACCAATAATAAAACCTCCCGTTCTTAAAATTCATAGACTTAATTGATATGTCGACACACCTTTTGCTTCAACAGTTTCAACTCTCCTGGGAAGGCATCTCTCAAGGATTAGGAGTGTTTATGGGAATTTTAGGCCAAACTCCCAGAAGCACATTTAAAGGTCAGACACTGATGTTGGATTAGAAGGCCTGGCTTGCAGTCAAAGGTGTTCTACTGGGCTTAGGTCAGGACTCCATGCAGACCAGTCAAGTTCTTCCACCCCACAATCTCTCATCCATGTCTTTATGGACCTTGCTTTGCGCACTGGTGCACAGTCATGTTGGAACAGGAAGGGTCCATCCCCAAACCGTTCCCAATATGTTGAGAGCATGAAATTGTCCAAAATGAAAGAGTTCCTTTCACTGGAACTAAAGGGTGGAAAACAGCCCCACACCATAATCCCCTCTCCACCAAACTTTACACTCGGCACAATGAGTTGCTGTGATCCCAGTCACTTTCACTTTGTCATAATAACCCAAACAGCTGACTGTGGAATATTTAACAGATTGGAAATTTCACTACACTGCTGGAATTCCCTGAGCTCCTGGGAGCGACTCACTCTTGCATGTCCAGCTGCTTTATCTTATACACCTGTGGCCGTGGAAGTGATTGCATCACCTGAATTCAATGATTTGGATGGGTCAGTGAAGACGTTTGAGAATATAGTTATATAGCTAGACCTTCACTTTGCCAATAATTAGAAATGCAAAATAATTTTAGATATAATCAAATATGAAACTCATGCTAGCTGATTAAGCGAGTTGTTCATTATTCACAGCAGTGACACTTGACTCCATCATTGTAGTTAAATGATAAACCTGTTTTATTGCTCTCATGTGGGAGATTGTTTAGCTCGCTTAGTCACGATTGACTGACATTTTCAAACTGGTACATCTGCATATTCAAATACAAGTCAGTATGAAAGGTGGCTGTCTTTAATTTCAATTAGCTGATCAAGTTTAGGGTCAGAAAGGGTCAAAATTAAAATGTCACAAGGAAAATGATTGAGTGTTTGCTTACCAGCTCACTAACGAGGGGAATGGGCCTTCTCTTGCGGAGATCTGGCATGCTGTCAATGCCAAACGGTGTGTTCCCCCTGTACACAACAATCGAATGTGGAAATGTATTGATCGGTTTTTAAATAAGGAAAACAGTACAGCATACCTTCAGTTCACGGCCTTAGTCGTTTGCAGATTTTTCTTTAGAGCCTAACTACCCACAAAAACCACAAATATCCTCCGCAATTTTTTGGGAGGAATTTGTAGCTTGTGATGGCGAAATACCCCTGTGCTCAGAGGCGGAGACTTGTAAGTAGCCAATCTGAGGGCGTTCTACATCTCTGCTGATTGCATCTCCAGCATTCTCGTATCATAGCAGTCTTCTTAAAGCCCAAATTAAGGGTTTAAACTATAATAACAGGAATTTATATGCATTTTATGACCACACCCAAAATTCACAGTTTTTCACTATTCACGGGTGCTCTAGCAACGTGACACCTGCAAATTTCTAGGGTCGACTGTATCATACTAACTCGCTTGAACGAACACACACACACATCAGAAGACCTTTACTGACCCTGGCTTGGCCCACGGGTGCTTGCTGAGGTCACCATCTTGATCTCGGCTCTGAAAAAGAATGTCATAGGTCAGGCGTTCAGCTACTGGGTCTGGCTTTACTGGACTCATAACAGTGGTGCATGCACATGCACAAGCATGAGCTATAGAGGAAAGTGAAAAGGAAATAACAAGACAGAAGCACAGGGACTCAAATGTGTTGGTTGAGTTTCAGTACCGCATGCCAAACAGGACTCTGCGATCAACTGAATTGTCGTCATGCATATATGAGCCTCATTAATGTGGTTTCCCCTTGTACAGTAAACACAAATAACATGTGCTCCCAGAAAACACAAACCAAATATTTACCATGTTTTTGTTTTTTCTTCTAACAGGTATTAAAGGAAATACCACAGTGACTAACATGTTTCAATCTTTTATGTCCTAATCAGTGCGGGCATTATTGCATATACATAACTACATATAACTGAACATCTAAGTGATATAAATGCAAAAGGAAAATTAAATATAGACACAAGCATGATGGAAATGTATAAATACAACAGAAATATAATTATAGAAAGAACAGTTTCTTTAAAAATACTGCGTTTATAATTTTAATGGGGGAGAAACCACAAAATAAGTAACCTGATCTCCATCTTGACTTCCATCTGTAACACAGCACAGAAGAAAAAAGAAAAACAAATGGAAAACAGTCACAGACTAGTTTGTGAAATAACATGCCACACCCTGGATTACTCATTTTGTTGTTAATTCCTGAGTAATGCTAAAAGCGGCACAGTTGCTGAGCTATCAGATAGATGAGGTCTGAGGTCATAAATGTTTCATTAACATGTATAATTTATCATGAAAATGACTCCTAATATTTCGCTTCTCCTTCCTCTTTAATGTGAGGCTAGCTTTCCAAGGAGATAATTAATGTTTTCTAATTCAGCAAATGGCCACTGCCTTAGAGGAGTAAGGGACTCTTGAGTGGCAGGTGATACATTACTCTCAAGGGACAAGAAAAGTGTAGCGCCAGCAGAAAACATTTGGTACGGTAAATACCCAACGGAACCGTTTGGTACTGGGGCTTATTCATAACCTCTGGGTGAGGGTATTTAAAGAGGACACCGGTGGTTAAGCTTTCATCAACGAAAACGATGCACTGCAGCCAGGACAGATCAAAGAGTTTCAGTAACGGGAAGAGGCTTTGATGACAGGAAGCTGGGAAGGAAAAGTTTTCCTGTTTGTTCTTCTAGAAACACTTGTGTTGACAAAAAAGTTAAATGATGACTCAGTTACCATTTATAGACATCTGAATGAATTAAAATACCCATTCTCCTTTACTGAGAAGATGAAGTGTGTTCATATCGCTCTTCATTTGAAACATTTTAATGGTTCATCTACTCTAATCACAAAAAAAGCAAAAAAAAAAAACCCAAATTAAATTAATCAGATATTTTTATCCAGTCCTGACTCAAAGAGTTAAATTAACTGAATCAGTTTGATCAATTAAATTCTATGTTTTTGCTCAATTCTTCGTTAACACAACACATCTCAGAGTGGAATACAGCTTAATAAATCCAATATTCTCCGGTTAATGACCAGTATTGGCTGTTGAAACATTACCAGCATTGATACTGAAAAAGTTGTACAACCAAATAAAATTCATACAATAAAACAACAGATGAGCCCAACATTAAATGTCATGTAATGACTACCTTGCTCAAACTCATCCTGAGAGAAGGTGGACACACTGGCAAGGCTGCGCCTGGTCTCTCTCTTCTCACGAAGAATCTGCTGAAAGCTCCTCAGACACTTTAGCCTGCGCTCATCCATCTGGCTGATCTCTGTGGATAGCTCTGCTGCTTCTCCTTCTGATTTGTCCTCAGAAACTATAGGGGCGTCCATGCTAGTTTGTTGTGGTAGTGGGACATCAGTTTGCCCTTGCTCTTCCACGGCTGCAGGTTCGTCAGCCAAAACCGAGGCCGACAGTGAATCCGCAGTGGTACATTGCGAAAGCTGAGCTTCTTTAAGGCTCACATCTGCAAGAGTTTCTGCATGTTTTTCTGTAAGGCCATCAGGTTGAGGCAGTTTTGCAGCACTACTGCAAATCATGTCAGGGCAGACTGGGAGTTCCTCAGGACACGGTGGGACAATGTCAGAAAAAGGGTGTTGGTAAGTTTCTGTACACTCCAATGTAAGGCTGTTGATGGCTTCTTTAAGCATAGGCTCCACATAGAAAGTATCTAATGTATCTACAGTGCTGGTTATGCTTTCCCTAAAAGCAATATCATCACCACCAACCACATCACCTTTTTGGGTTATATCAGATGTTTGAACCAATTGTGTCTCATAGCAAAAAGGTTTTGAAGGCAACTGAGTTGTAGGCAGCTCTGAAGGCATTGATATTTCAAAGTCTGTTTCTTCTTCAGGATTCACAGCTCCAGGTGCTTCAAGTTTGCGCAACGCTCCCCGCAAGGCAGAGCTAAAATCAAGTACTGCTCTACCTATGCGTTTGACGTTGAAACCCCCAGCTTGGGGATCTGCATTGCCAGGGTGAGAGAATTGATTTCCTAAGCTTTGGTTACTGACGTCAGTCACGCAGGATGGCTCAGTCCACGTCATTGCTGTAGACTCGTCATATGCTAAATACGTTTCAACTTGACAAGTTGTTGTAAAGCTCAGATCAGCTGAATGCCTAAAGTCTGATTCCTCTGCTTCAGCATCATGCCCATCAACTGAGTGGTAACCAGAACTTTGCGGGTAGGACAAATCAGCAGCACATTCATATGCTACAGTGGAGTTTTCACTGGGATCTGCCGATCCATGAATCCCAGACTGGTTCTGAGGCCGCCTCCTTCGCGGCTGCCATTCCTCTCTGCTAGAACTGCTGGCAGGTGAGTTGTAATGCTTTCCAGAGTGTATAGAGAGATGTTCTGAGCTTGCATTAGAACACTGCCCAGATGTACCATATCCCGTCGCACCACTGTATTGTTCCCAGCTCCCAGCTCCTTCACAGCAAAGAGGGCTCACACCTTCATGCTCCCTTATGTAAGCTGTTTCCCTATGCCACACGGATTCCATAGGTCCACTGTGTGTTGGTACAGCATTAGTCCAATGTTCCTCCCCATCACGAGTCCTCTCTTGCTTTCTTCCATGACTAGATGATGGTCTTTCTATGTCTGATTCAGATTTGGAACTATGACCAGAAGACAAAGAGCTGGTGCTCAGGCAGTCTTGACCATCCTGCCTGTCAAGGTAGCCAAAGCTGAGTTTTCTTGCTATAGCGCCTACTGGGATATCAGAGCTATGCTCAGAGGTATCCTCTGGTTCCTCTGGTTCCTCTAGTTCCCGATGATCCACTGATTCAGCGATTGGGGAAACTGTTGAGTCTTCTGGCTGGGATAGCAGTAATTCTCTATGTATGCTATGGCGCTCATTGCATGCTTGAGGGAAACAATTTGACTCTGACTTTGGCACTGCACTACCTAAACTGCCATAAGCACTCGCAGGCCTCCTGCGGCAGGATGGACCATCTTTGCACCCTACCCCTGACCAAGTACCTGCATGGGCTCCAGGCTTGTTGCTAGAACGAATGCCCTCAATCTCCAACAGAACAGCATCTACACACGATGATACTTCCTCAACTGACCCTCGAACTGAGGTCAGGTAATCCCTGAGGTCGGAGATTTCCTCCTGGATCTTGTTGATCCCCCTCAGCTCTTTTAGAATGTGCTCGATGATAGCACTTGACTCCTCCTCTTTATCTTCATCCTCTTCTAGCAGTGTACCAGGGAGAGGTCTGTTAAAATTGTAGTCAACACAGTCACCAGTAGAATAAGGTCTCTTTGGCCGAATACGAGGTGAGGCAAAATTCCTTCCTGCTGTTGATACGAACTTCTTGCCATTCACGTCTGGACCAACCGGAGCATAGTGTAGGGGTGGCTGTAATTGCTCCGGAGCATCCCGAAGTCCTTCTTCGAAGGAGATTCGTTTAATATTTGCTGGTGATCTACATCTTTTATGCTGCAAAGTGCAGGGTATTCTTATACACCCCTCTCTGTTCAGTTCCACCTCTCCTACACATGGTGGCCCAGATGCTACACCATGCGTTTTAGTGTTTGAAACTGTGGGGGAATATGCTTCTGCCCTTGGGCTAACCTTTGGGTATATGCTCCTGCGCTCCTTTCTGCTCTCATGTGTTTCTCTCGCCTCGTCTTCCTCAATACCTGAATAATAGAGGTGGGAATCTGGGACATGGTGGTCTGCAGATCCTTGCAATAAACGATGTATTTTGCCCCGAATAACTAGTGCTACCCTTGGGTTTGGAGCCCTCTTCTTAGGTGGGTGAACTTTTGACTTTGCGCCTCCTTTAGGGGAAACACCTGCTCCATGTTGTCCATTGAAACGATTCTTGGAGAACATATTCTAAAGAGAGCAGTCTGTCCTTATCTAGTTCCCCACATTGTCAGTGGGAGATGTGTATATATGATGTATCATAGTTCATTAATAAAGCCTGTCAGAAGCTTATCCAGCCCAGCCACTCAAAGTCAGTGGCCCATGGCTAAAATGGGAAGACAAAAAATAAAATGTGTAAAGATTAAAAATACTCTGTCATCATTAGATAAGCAAAGATGTCACAAGTTAATCAACCTGTACTCTTTAAAAAAAGGCGCATGCACACTAATTCATGCACAAAAAAAGCAATGCTCCCAACACATTTCCTCTCCTTGCTCTCCATGAGCCTTAAAACTTGTCCTCGCTGTACTGGAACGATGAGGTTAAATCAACCCTTCAGAAAACAATTGTTATGTCAGAACAGCCTGACCGGGTCAGATCAATCTGAAACACAAATTTCCAGCTCTGAACATCAGAAACTAATTACATTTGCTATTTATCAAACATTTATATGTTCAAATTAATACGATTAATTTGATTATTTATTTCGTAAATGTTACAAGAATATCTGAAAAATGAGAATGGCATGAACTTCAATTAGGAAACATTATAACGTAGTGCTGTAAGTTCCAGCTCATTTAAAATCCTTCCAGCTTCAAGCACTTGCA